TAATAATTTTATATAAAATAGGTTTATATAATTCTTATGATTCAATTATCGATTACATTCGGTCTTATTGCATTATTTCATTTTACGTATGTTTAATTATTCTAATCGGATTATTGAAAGTGAATATATGTGATATATACTATAGACCACCTATTCGTGAATATGTGCAAAGTACAAATGGAAGATGGCTTTATTTTGCATCATATGGTGTTTTCTTGGTTACTTATTTTGTATTGATTTGTTCGCGACGTGCAGCACGAAGATTTCCACTTAATCTTATTTTACTCGGCATTTTGGTAAAATAGAAAATTAAATTAATTAAAAAGTAAAATTTTTTATTTTTAGACATTAGCAATGGGTTATATGGTATGATTCAATTTAAACATGCTTTATTATTTAGAATATTTTGTTTTTGTTTTTTTTTTGTAAAAACTTTAGATGGGTACGATTTCAGCATTTTATAAAATTGAATCAATTTTGATTGCTGTTGGTATAACAGCAGTTGTTTGTCTCGGTGTTACATTATTTTCATTTCAAACAAAATATGATTTTACATCATGTGTTGGAGTTTTATTTGTTATCTCAATAGCACTTTTAGCTTTTGGAATTGTTTGTGCTTTTACTTATTCAAGAGTAAGGATTTTAATAAAACAAAATATTTATGATATGTTTTTCAAAAAAAAATTTTTTTTTTTAAAGATATTGTATACAGTCTATGCTGGTCTTGGAGCTGTAGCTTTTTCAATTGTAAGTTTTAATAATTAAGAAATTAAAAAAAATGATTTTCTATTGTTAGTTCTTGGCGGTTGATACTCAATTAATTATGGGTGGAAAACGACACGAAATAAGTGCTGAAGATCATATTTTTGCATCACTTATGCTTTATATTGATATTATTTATATATTTGTATTTATTCTGAGTTTGATCGGTAAACGGGAATGAAATTATCTTTTAACAACGATATTTTAGTATTTTTCATACCAAATATATTTATTATCCGAGCAGTTTTCTTTTTATTTTTTGTTGTCTACATCTACTTCTTCGTTTTTTTTCATTTTTATATTGAATATTCAACGTTTGATTCAATAAGATTCCATATATAAACATCGATATGTACACTTAATCATGTTTGTGAAGAAAGATAAATTTGTATTTGTGTTTTTTTCGCATCATCATTGTGTGAAAACAATAATAAACAAAAGAAAATTTTTAATTCAAGATCGATTACGGTGCGACTCAAGTGAATCGCATCTCGCTCTCGTTTGTTAATTTTTCTTAAGGCTGTTGCAGGTTGCTCATTTTTCGAGAATAAATACACAGCAAAAATGCTCGCGTCTAAGAGACGCTTCATGGTTTAGTGGAGAAATTATGCTATGTAAAAACAAAAAATATTATAAATTCAAAATTCTAGAATTCTATAAGTGACTTTTGAATATATATGAAAGAAACATTGAAAGTACTTTTATAAAGTTCTAAAATAATGATCATGCTTTTTTCCGTTCTCAGTATGTGATTATTTGTTTTTCTAAAAATCAATCAGATCAAATTGAATAAAGCCTTGAGGGTGTGGGTTTAGATATTAGACTCCTCCTCACTGGCACACATACCGACACATCCACACACACACACACCTTACCCACACCCATCTAAATTTGAATGATCCGTTATTGTACACGATCATCACATAGGAATTCTTTTCCTTTTTTCTGTTTTTGGTTTTCTATGTTATCGTATGTTAAACCTTTTTTTTTTCTCTTTCTTTTCTTTCTATCGCTTGTATTTTGTTATTACTGTTTATTTTTGAAATGGACCATCACAGTCGTATCGAAAAAAGTTTTTTTATTTTATTGAAAATCTTTTTTTTTCAATAGGGTAGGATGTTATGATATGACATTTATATGAGTGATGATCTATTCTTTTGGTATTTCTGACGTGCTGCTTATCTTTCTTCTTTTTTCTTTTTCTTTTGATGACATATATATGTGATGTTACATTCAATTAGTCGATCTTTTCTTTCCTTTCGAAATAAATGGTTCATGTTCTTCTGATCACGCCTTTTTCGATCTATCGAATGAAGAATATAAAACTTTCGCAGTTCACATTCTCTCTCTCATACTTTAAGCATAAAATATAGGAAAAGATATAGATCTTACGCAATTTTACTTCTTGGAAATCAAATAAAATTGTTATTTTTAAGATTGATATTCATTCCATCCTATTTGTGTTTCTAAGGTCACTTCAATCACAAGTGTATTTTATTTCGGAAAAACAAGAAAAAAAAAATAGAAAAATCGCAAGTACAAATGTCTTGGTTTTTTTTAGCAGAAAACAGGAGACCAATACTTTCGATGTGCACAAAATCGAGATATATTACAAAGATTTCTTATGCAGTAGACTAACTTGGTGGTAATATGGACGTTACTCTTACCATCTCTTCCTTTTTTATCTCTGTAGGATTCACTGGTACTCCTAATATTAGTTTTTCTATATACGGGTAAGTACAATAAAGATTAATCACCATTAATCCTAATATTAAAGAAAATATAATAAGTTCCACGATATCATATGCTAAACGACAATACTTAATAAAAACCAATGGATCAAGATTTGATATCAGAACTGATGTGGCTAATATGATAAAGAGCAGGATCAAAATCATTCGTATTAAGTAATATTTTTCATAAGACTTAATTTCAAAAAAATTCTTGTTGAAGACAGAATAAGAAAATGTATTTAATAATACGAAATCTCGTAAAATTCGTATTTGCTCACGACCAGTGACATAAGCTGATAAATCGTCTGAGCAGGTCTCGTCATCATATGAAAACATCGGTTCATACATATGAACAATGCTGCAATGACTTTGCTCGTATGCACACAGACGTGGTAGATTCACGTTCGTTGCACGGTACACTGCTTTCAGTCCTGATAAGTTCTGAAATGACATTATTACGCTGAAAATTAATGCTTCTTTAAGCATGGCACGTGCTGATGATCTGAAATTTTTATTGTAGTTTCCAAATATTCGAACATTACGATGACATAATTCGACTGCCACGAACATATAAAAGAGCTTGATAATCCATAAAATGGCCATCTGTAATTCATTCTGGCCAATGCAATTTACACTAACTAATACACAATTTACGATAGCATAGGACAATAAGAGATATATTTCAATTGATATGCCAAATGCAACAACACCACTTACATAAATAATTACAAGGCTTTCTATGAGAATATATTGCGAAGTATGAAAAAACTTGAACATATACGGTCTCTCGCCTGGTCGCGACGTGTACATCACTGAATCAATGATAGAATAAGCAAAGAAACCAGTAATTGATAATAAACGACAACCAATAAGAATCCAATCGCTTTGACGCCAGTTTTTAAAATGAAAATTTACAAACCATTCGCAAAATCGATATATGAATTGTCGTGAAGGACCAACATCCGATCTAAATGGAACAAGACTGCAATTTTAAATTGTTTTGTTTTCGAGATACAATAAGAATAATCGAATAGCAATAAATAAAATGCATTCTACTAGAACGTTGCCATGCACCATAAGATTGAGTATTAGCAAAAAAACGAACAAAGATATGAGATATTACCGTAAATTCTCGACATGGATTCTGCGGTCTCGTAAAACGTTTCCCATCGTCGTGCTAGACTGTGTATGAATATGAACGAATTTTATTTTATTTTTGTTGAATGTTGATCTGGCAACTTCAAATAAGTAATGCTCTTAGACAATTTTCATTTTTTACTATTATATATGGCAGCATTATTTTTCCTGAGGAAAAAGCCAACATGAATTTTTTCTTTCAATTTTTTCTCACCTTAAATCTGAGTTGCTTTTATTTCTGATCCTTTTTAATATGTTTATGCAATGAATGACGTTAATATTCTCAGGTGATGTAAACAAAAATGAATTGTGACATTGTTCTGCTCTGTTTACGGGTGTGGGTATGAGTGTGGGTGTGGATGTAGATGTGGGTATGGGTGTAGGTATGGATGTAGGTGTGGGTGTAGGGTGTGGGTGTGGGTGAGGGTGTGGGTGGATGTGGGTGTATGGATGTGGGTGTGTCTGTGGGTGTTGAGTGTGGGTCTGCAGATGGATGAACAGAATATTCGCACCCACAACCACACCACACCCACACCTACAGCCACAGCCAGTCACACCTCACACCCACTTCACACACCCGCACCCACACCCCATACCCACACCCTAGTTATGCGCATAATAGTCAAATATAGAGACGAAATCCTAACTTAAGATTAGTTTACTGTTGTTTGAAATAGTCGACTTCTAGAACTTGCATATCATGGGATCTGTATTACCACTTCTAGTAGTAGACCTCTCATTCATGTGTTCGAGATCAATAATTGACTCTCGGTCGTGCGGTTTCCTTTGCTCATGTCCACGATGAAGTTTTCGAATGAGTAAATGATAAAGTAGTTCGACTATCAACTTGTACAATAGGAATACCAGACCAAATATTTCCAAACAAACTATGGTAAATAGAATGGTGCGAAATATAATCTCTGCGTGTCTAGCAATTGGTTGTTGGACATTTTTGACATAGAACGGTGTTTCATCTATCGACACCCTCAATATGGTCTCCTCTACTGTTGATTTAATGTATTGGTCGTTTGAAACAAATAAGTTATCTGATACAGTTTTCGGTGTAAATATGTAGATACCGCTATAGCTGCTCTCTTCTCCTTTCATCGGTACTGTTTCATTGATAACTTTTGTTAGTGATAGAACCACATTTAATATTTGTGCTAGAATATATCCATTCTTTGAAAAAGATTGAGAAGCATTGAATTTTTTCAAATTATATAATGCTTCCTCATGTTCAGAACCACTTAGATCTATACATAAAGCATCAATAGTCTGAACATCGCCTAGAGTAATTTCTATAGATATGAGCTGGAAAGGCAATGAAATCGATAAATATAGAATCGAACCAATATTTTCACAAGTAAATCAACGAATCGTCGACCAAGTCGTGCCAAATAGACCGGTGAGTGATATGCTGTCACACACCGCTAATATATTGATGAAATCAACATGAAGCATCAAATTTTGTTCATATAACAAATCGAATATACGTTCTTCGGCATGTGTACGTGGTATGGCCATTGATTGAAGACCTATTTCGAATTTTGCATTACGAATTGATTCTTCACAATCAAAATAGGAACCAGACGATGTTTCAAATGGATATTGGCGGTAAAAAATATCACTAAATGAATAGGCAAAACAAACCATAACCACCAAAGACAACGACGCTAACCCACCTATCCACATCTCACCTTCTTTAATCAAATCTGTTCTTTTAAATACATATTGCATTCCTATCTTTACACGATTAGCTTTTGGATGATGGATACAAAAATGCAGTATTGCAATCACTATCAGTATGAGAACAGCTATAGCACCTACGATCAATGACCAAAATAAAGGTGAGACAATCAGGCAATGTCCTTCTTTTATATCAAACATATTCCCGATTAGGATTTCTTCAAATATGGTACTTTCCGGTGATTTTGGATAGGCAATAACTTGTACGACGTTTTCTAGTATTGATTTGGGTATTTCATCCACTGAACCAAGAGAGCAGAATGATTCATTTGCACATAGTATACATTTAATTGAAGAAATGCCAGAATTTTTCATGCCAGTCGGACAAAGGATACAATCATTGATACCAGATTGATCTTTATACATACCAGGTAGACATACTTCTTCGGATGTAATCAAGGGCATTGATCCTGTATCTGTTATTGATGGAAAGAAGCCTGGTGGTGTAGGATTGAATATTAGCAAATCACCACTTTTATCCATTAAAGTTAGTGATGTTGGTGATGAAATGATATTTAAAAATACGGAATTAAAACTATCCGGTACTAATTGATGATAATTAGGGAAAAGTGATAGTGGAGTACTGTTAGAATTATAAGTATTTGATACCATATCATAGAAAAAGATCTGAGATGATGACCACTGATACGTTAATGAATAAGTGTTTACAAGTATTGCAGCCATGTTTCCATCATCAAGCCAAGCTACACTTTTTCCATTTCCCAACGATCGACCACCCGTATTTCTGCTGACATAAGTTAATTTTCTTGGATCACTAATGTTTACTGAAAGTAAGAAAACTCGATTGATGAATGGCATGCCAACTAAAACATTGCCATGACTATTGATACTAATTGACATACTATTTTTTTCCGAATACACATCATGTACCTGGAGTAGCTGTTCCTATATATTGGTCAACAATAATTGGACGATGATTTGATGAATTAAAATTGAGCAGATAAATAATGGGACTATATTTTACTCTTTCTTTGGGATCATTTTGAACGAAGCCGGCGATGATGCCGAAGTTGTCATTAATTTCAACAGCACGAGGTATAAATGAACTATTTGACCATGTTAAACTTCTATTCCATGATTCAAAAATTAAAACATTCGGAGAATCGAATATGGTGACAAATGCATTCGAAAATCCATAGACAAGAAGGTCTTTCGGTTCAACTCCGATGACATAGTACTCTTGATGTTCATAATTGTCTAGATATTGGATAGAGTAAGAGAAGCTGTTAGCACAAGAGTTCGGTGAATCGGAGAGATTATTCGTTAGATTGTATGTTGCTACCCCAATAAATGGTCGACTGTTATCATTGATCCATTCACCAGCAAAGAAAAATTGTATTTGATTTTTATTTGGTTTTTTGCCAACAGCAACAGTATAGACATAATAATTTTGTGAACTATCAAGACAGTTAATGAAACATTGAGATGAACTTTGTGTGTTGTTGTACGGTGAAAATTGAATAAAAAAACTCGGTGGATTTCGAGCGTTTTGAGCGTGTACAAGAAGAATCTCATTCACAGCAATTTTTACTCCATAAGCATCATAAACAGTTCGGTCAGGGCTGAAGACACCATTCAAATGATGAACATACAATAGTAATAAAAAGCCAATGATCATGTATTGAATGAAATTCATGTTTTTATTGATTGAGTCAATTTGTGACGTTGTCAAATGTATGAAATATACTTTCGATATCTGAAAAGTGCCGAGGTAGACAAAAAGAATTCACGATCCTCAAGTACCTAGTAATATACTAAGAGATTGAATTAGATTAGCAGATAGAATAGAATTAGAACATGTTAATTCCATGTAAGAAAGATGCTAGAAATCTCATCGTAATCGATTGTTTATCGTTTTCCACATAGGAAAGATTTCTATTTCATTTTATTTTCTCTCATTGTTTACAAACCAATGACACAATAAAAAAAAACGATCACAATTGAACTGAGGTTTTTTTACATGAGAATTTTCATCATGACTTTTAATTTCAAAAATTTTTCATTCAGCACATCCCGAAATAAGTTCAAAATCGATTCGATTTCATCTGTTTGAAAACTTATTTACTCGAGTAGGTTTTTCGAGAGCTTTTTTTTCTAGAAAGATAAATATGTCAATCGATGAAATTCATTCTATTGCTATACTTTTTGATCGACAACTAATGGAGAAGAGGGAATAGATTGTCTTTTGTGAATAAGGACTTTATGTGTTGATATTTCAATTTTAGTTGTGAATGAATTACATCGAGATTCAAAGAGTTTTCTTTTTGGTACATCTATATCATTGAAAAACTCTATTAAGAATTTCTTAGAATCGCTGGAATATTGTCATCCGAAAAGTGAAAATCATGTTTTACACCATTGAAGTTATCAATGAAAATATAAGTATAGCAAAAGTCACATCATTTAACATAGCTTGGTGTAAGACTATTTTACGTGTAAGAGTTACTTCAATGAAGATAATCGATTTCATATACTGAATGTCATCGAGTGGAACTGTTTTAAAATTCTTGATATTCTCTTCGTCCAACTTTTATTTCATCATTTATCACTGACAGAACTACTTGATGTTTTGCAATTTATGGATGTACATGTCAACTAAGGCAATATGACATTTTCATTAGATAGACCGTTTTTTTTTCATTTGATAGATAATTATTTTTTTTTTCATCAGATAGGCGTTTTATTTTTCATCATTTACTCATTATCGCTTATATTTCGTTATTTCAAAAGTCGTCCTCGTTTTTTTTGCTTTATTTTACGTCTCGTTTTATTACGACGAGAAAATGTGCACTGATACTTACATGCACATGCTTATTAAATCTCAATTTTGCATTTTCTCTGTCATGAATAACCAAAACATCAGTATTATGATTTATAAATAAGAGCAATACTAGCAATACATTGTTTAACGTCAAATTTCTTCATGATCATGACTCGTTCTATAGATCACACAAGAACTTTGTTGTTCAGAAGAATCGATTGATAGAATTTTATTTTGTAACTCATTGACAAATAATCACTAATGAGAATTGCTCGCGGCAGAGTTTCTCTTAGCAGCACTGGTAATATTAGAAACAGCCATACTAGCATGAGTTATTCTACATTCTTCTGATTCTATTGATCATGTTGCAATTTATCTCCATCAGTAGTTTTCGTCTCTTGTTATCTATTGCCTTAGAGAAAACTTTGTGAGACTAAAAATTTTATGTGAAATTTCCACATTCATCAGTAGTTCGTAAAAAACAGACTTTATTTATTACTTTTTCTGAAACAAAGGATTATATGGTGGTAATTATGCACAACAATGTTGGTCCTTCCATTGTTCCATACAAATCAGAATACATCTTGGGGTAGATCTATAGTAATAGCTGATATTATTCGTTAAGAAAAAGAACAATATATTATAAAATGATAAAAATAGAAATATTTTATTTTTTGAATTTTAATTCAATTCTTTTTCGACATTTACTTGATCAATTACAACAAATAAGAATTTAATTCATAATTTTTATTCTCCTTGTCAATCTTCATTTATTGAACTATTTTAATGAAATTCTTAGAAAATTAGATCTTAATCAATTCTCATCCTTAGAAAGGAACATAATTACTTTTAGTGTTTCCAGTCAGATTATTACAAATCAATGTCAAACATTGACTCAAGTATTTAACCCTACTTTCAATAGAATTCTTTTACCTTTCAAAACTGTGAAATTTGTTAACAATAGTAATGGATTTCATGATTATAATCCAATACTAATTATTTCAATCTATGATTAATCAATTACGAGAAAAACTATTCAAAAACATATTTAATTTCGAAGTATCATTAAATAAAGAAAAGATCTTTTCTCAAAGAATGAAAGTGTAAAGGATTCACACCCACACTCACACCGGCACCCTATAAAACGAATGATCATTGAATTCTTGAAAAACAAAACATTCAAACTTACTCAGCAAGTCCAAAATTGAAAGGAAAAAAGTTGGCTGTCTTTTTTTTTGTTTCTTTCAAAGCATCTATTTATGAAAATCTGTGAAACATTATCTTAGTTTATCAAATCATTATTCATTCACCAATAACATTAATTCATTGCTGTACATAAAAGTAACCTCTGGAATGAGGCTGCTTGAAAGTGTGCTTTTTCTAAATCTAGTAGTAAATTGTTTTAATACGAAAATAAGTCACAGGATACAACAATATGAAACACTTTAAAAAACAATTCAGACATTATTCATATCATGATCAATATTATGTATACAGGAATATGTTTGTGAAGTGTGTGACATATCAATAAATGATCGATAATTGAAAATCTTAGGAGCAAGTACAATTTGCTTTATTACATAAGGCAAATATGTGACATCATCGAAGACTTTCAATAAATATCGACTTCATTACAAGTATACTGACTGATTGCTATTGAATATAAAATAATTGCTTTCAATTGAAATGTGACCAAGAGCTAATACAAACTTGTGATAATAGACTTGATATCGACATTTAAAGATTGATTTCACTAAAAATGCTGATTTTCTTAAATTTTTCTTGAATCTAGATTGAGTCGGGTCATAGTTTAACGATATGATATGCATTCTTGCATATGATTTACAAAAATGAGTGATTATATTGACTAGTATGAACGATTGAATATTCGGATACCGATAGCGAACAAGATTATGACAACTAAAAAAAAAATACAGGAATGGATTCTGTGTGTTTGATTTTTTGGAGCGTGTACAAGGCTGATGTGTTTCACTTTTTTTCAATTAAATCCACACTCTTCTTTCTTCTGTAGCTCTTACCTGCATATTTTATCACTCATCATTGTTTCATACTTGTTGCTTTAGCTACTGTGGAAACATCGACAGAGACTCTTGATAAGTTATCTATTCCTTATAGACATTGAAGGTGTCTATTATTGTTAAAGAATAAAACATAACATACACATCTCCATTTTCTTGTTTGCAACAATAAAGCTTAACTATCGAGTAAGTTTTTCTGTATATATAGACGTTTTGAGGTATATATGTATGTATGTGATTTAAAGCATCAGAACATTCGTAAAA